GCGTTCAGCAGAGAAAGCTGCTTTGCAACTGTTGTAAAATTCGTGAATCTCATTGGAGTATGCTCCTAATTTTGGTTGAATCCAATAGCATGTACCAATCAGATTCACCAATTTTACAACAGTTGCAAAGCATCTTCTCTGCTGAACGCAGCCAGTATTGCTGTGTAACGTCCGAACTTATTTTGAAACATTAATAATATATTAATATAGATCGGAGGCCGACTTGTCTGATTTCAGACATCACTAGATATTTTATCCGTATGTTACTAAACGTAAGTACGTGCGCATATGTATATTCGCGCACGTTAAATATTATAATTAAAATTATAGCGCTGAATACTGCGTGTCGTTAGAGAGTCTTAAAATCGATGGATCAACTGTAGACAAGAAAAACCGTAATCGCTCAATGCGATAAGGCGTCTCGCTGCTAACAAACAGGAGCATGAAAACTAAATCTATATACCACTCAGGACCGACGCGGCGATATTGACGCGGTGACATCATACCAATGGAATGAATTTCTTCCATCTCCATAACTCCATCAGCCAATCAGAAAACGACTCTCAGCGTCAAAGCGACATATAAAAGCGCGCGCATTTGTTGAGAAGGCGATTATTTTCTCATAATTAGTCTTTGGTAATTCTCGTGTACTTATTTGGAATATATTAGTCGTAAAATTCGACTGTGTAGCAATTACTTTTGCCTACCTTTCATTTTTCGAACGTTGCGAAATTGAAATTTGGAATGGTGGGCCGCATCATCCCGCAGCGCCGGAACATCCGAGACCGAGCTAGGAGAACGAGTAGCGCTGATTTCTCGCCAGATTCATCGATCGTTTCGCCAGACTGCGGAGATCCAGGGTAAACTCGGTGAAAAGCAGAATGACTCAAAAGCGGAGTCATCATTCTGTTGACCGTCCACGTAAGTCACTAGGTTTGTTCTTTCGACCTGAACTGACTGCACTAGTTCACGAAGTTTGCACTAATGCGTTCTTTCGATCAGA